ATGAATAGTTGCTGCTGCTGCTGCAGCAGCAGCAGCTGCTGCTGCTGCAGCAGAAGGGATACAGCAGCAGCAGCAGCAGCAGCAGCAGCAGGAATTCACGCTCAGTGGTTATAGGGTCTCGCCAGGTCGCACTATACATTTGCTGCTGCAGCTTAGAAGGGAGAGATAAAGAGTTGCTGCTGCTGCTGCTGCTGCTGCTGCTTCTGCAGCAGGGGTTGCTGCAGCAGCAGGAGGTGCTGCTGCTGCTGCTTCTGCAGCAGGGNTGCTGCTGCTTCTGCAGCAGGGGTTGCTGCAGCAGCAGGAGGTGCTGCTGCTGCTGCTTCTGCAGCAGGGGTTGCTGCAGCAGCAGGAGGTGCTGCTGCTGCTGCAGCTGCTGCAGCCGGGGTTGCTACAGCAGCAGGAGGTGCTTCTGCTGCTGCTGCAGGAAGTGCTGCTGCAGCGGGAGTTGCTGCTGCAGCAGGAGCTGCTGCTGCAGCAGGAGCTGCTGCTGCAGCAGGAGCTGCTGCTGCAGGAGTTGAGGTTTAGTTATTATAGGGGATAACCAGGATAACCAGGAGTTGCAGCAGCAGCAGCAACAGCAGCAGCAGCAGCAGCAGCAGCAGGGGGTTGCTGCAGGTGCAGCAGCAGCAGCAGCAGTAGCAGCAGCAGCAGCAGCAGCAGCAGCAGCTGTGGACTCTTAGTGTTTATAGAGTCTCGCCGAGGTGTACTCTACATATGGTGCTGCAGCTAAGAGGGGGGAGATAAACTGCTGCTGCTGTTGTTGCTGCAGGAGTTGCTGCTGCAGCAGCAGNGCAGCAGCAGGAATTAAGGCTTAGCTGTTATAGAGCCTCAATATTATGTGCCCTACAAATGGTGCTGCAGCAGAGAGGGGGAGATGAACATTTTGCTGCTGCTGCTGCTGTTGCTGCTGCTGCTGCTGTTGCTGCAGCAGGAGGTGCTGCAGTTGCAGCAGCAGCAACAGCTGCAGCAGCAGCAGCAGCAGCAGCAGCAGCAGCAGGAACGAAGGCATAGTGGTATCGGGATGTGCTGCAACTCAGAAGGGGGAGGTAAAGCAGCAGCAACAAAGGTTGCTGCTGCAGCAGCAGCAGCAGCAACAGCAGCAGTAGTTCCCGCTGCAGCTGCTGCAGCTGCTGCTGCAGGTGCCGATGATGCAAGTGCTGCTGCAGTAATAGATGCTGCAACAGCAGCAGCAGCAGCAGCAACAGCCTGAGCAGCAGCTAGCTACACAAGAAAACAGCATTTGTCTGCTGCTAGCTGCTGCAGCTATACCAACAGTTGCTGCTGCAGCTAGCTGCTGCTGCAGCTAGCTGCTGCTGCAACTAGCTGCTGCTGCAGCTAGCTGCTGCTGCAACTAGCTGCTGCTGCAGCTAGCTGCTGCTGCAGCTAGCTGCTGCTGCAGCTAGCTGCATTTATCTATGGCTAGCTGCTGGAGCAACAGTAAAGGCAACCACAGCTAGCTAGCAGCAGCGAGGAGCAGCAAGCAGCAGCTAGCTGTAGCTAGCTGCTGCTAGCTAGCTGTAGCTAGCTGCTGCTAGCTGCAGCAGAAGGCTGCACTTGTATATGGCTAGCTGCTGCAGCTAGCTATCCCGTTTGCATGCAGAAGAGATCGGCGTGGGGTGTACATACACCTCAAGTTTTGTTTTATCTTTGTTTCGTTTCTTTTTGTTTTTTGTTTTTTGTTTTTTTTTTTTGTTTTTTTTTTGTTTTTTTGTTTGTCTTTGTT